CCCCGACCCTGCCTGGCCAAGAGCTATCGCCACTTCTCCCTGGCTGGGATCTCTCTGCTGCTGAGTGCCCCAGATCTGGAGCAGAGCTGCAGCAGAAGGCAAGGGGGGGAGGGGGGGCAATGACATGGGTGGGGCAGTCAGGGGCTGGGTAGGCTGGGGAGCAGAGCTGTGGCAGAATGTAAGAGGGGGCTGGGGGAAAACAGGCACAATGTGCAAGGGATGGGGTGTCAGGCTGCAGGGGAGAGCAGGGGGTGGAGGTGGCAAGAAGTTGGGGGGGGGGAGATTGATGAAACCTGGTCGAAGAGGTAATTTTCTTTTTTCAATAAACCTACATTCACATTCTATCAATCATTAAAATTGGTAGGGATGCCAAAAATGGTGCTCTGCTTTTGATTTATTTTCCATATGCAAGCTTTAGAATATATTAAGGGAAGTAAAAGGTCTTGACACATTATATACTCTCACCTCTAATATGACACAGACCACAGAATTTCACCCGTGGCCTCTGTTTACATGTTCCAAACAGACACCTACTCTGGACAGAGAAGTTGAGAGATGGAGAACCACCCCCCCCAGATTTCTAGGTAGTCCATTACAAGGGTTATCACCCACTGTGATTAAATCCTGTGCTTTATATTTAATTGGAATTTATCTGACTTCAGCCTCCAGCCATTGGTTCCTGTCTTTGTCTCTTAGATTAAAGTACCCTTTGGTACTGGGTATTTTCTTTTTGTGTAAGTACTTCTACACTGTAATCAAATTGTCTCTTGATCTACTTTCTGATAAACTGAAGAGAGCAAGCTGCTTCAATCTCTCACTGTTCTTGGTTTTTTCCTCTCCTGAATATGATAATCTCCAAGGCTTTGAACTTGCAAAATCTTAAGCATATGCATAACTTTAAAGACTACACTAAAACATTGTCCTTTATGCACTCTGAGTGCATCTACATGAGATACTTTACTGTGCATTAGACTAACCTAATGCGCAAGAAAGCATCAGAGTTTACACATGTACGGGACTTAGTGCACAGTAAATCAGGCTAATATGCCATTTGCTAGTACCAACAGATACAGGTATTAGATTAACAGCACATTAGCTACTACACAGTAGTGCATCTATAGATACTGACCAGGGGCAAGTTGCTTCCAATCAGGGGGCCACAAGGGGCACGGAGAGCTGTCCTGCCTCGGCAGGATACTGTCTGCCAGCCAAGCGGGGGTTGGGACCCTCCTGATCCCCATGTGGCTGGGAGAGCTGTCTCTGCTGGATGGGGATGCTGCCTGTCAGCCACGGGGAGATCAGGAAGGTCCCAATCTCTACATGGCCATGTAGGGATTCTCTTGGCCATGTGGGGATTGGGACTGGTCCCTGTGCCCCCTGCCAACCCTGGGGCTGGCACCCAGGGGTGTCTGAATTTCCCCTTGCCTGCTGCAGTGGGTGAGGTGAAGTTTGCTCCCAACGAGGGTACACGTGTAGACATGTTCCCTGGAGTACTTTAATGAGCCTTAATTTGTGCAAAAATTTCAGGCACATTAATTGTATGTGTAGACATGCCCAGAGGGTAGACAATGGGACTACATTAGATGAGCATGTGTGTAAGCATGATGGTCAATAGTGGAATTTGAATACGTGCACTATAGCATGTCCTTGCTATTTATATCACCTTCTTAATGAGAGACACATGGCATTAGCAGGAGAGCTTCTTACTATTCATGCTGCTGCTGGAGACTGACCAGATTATGTAACCATTAATCTTATACTTTTGTTTCCTGCCACAAATCCATAGTTAACATCCCCTCTGTATTCCTGTTCTCAATTCCCTTTCTTTTACTTGGTTTCCTATGGTTCACGAGTCAGCTGTTTCTAATCATATTGGGCTGAAACACCATCCCAGCCAGTGAACAGCCCAGATGTTTTATTTTTAAATAAATGCTTGCATCTGTTAGGTTATACAGCAAAGAACAATGGATACATTCTTGAGGATTTTGAGGTCCTTTGCCCCTGAAGAAGACAGGTTAAACATTAAATGGTCTCAGTAACAGAGAGAAAGGCTTCATGACAGTTTTATTTTAAATAAACCTGTGTAAGTCTCCTTTCCCTGACCTCTGTCTCACCCCCCATAACATTATCTGATTGAAAGAAAACATTCACAATGAAAAGATCACATGCAACTCTCCCCTTGTCATAAAACAATCCAAATCTTTTAGACCCTGGCTGTAGCCAAAGCTCTCCAGTAACTGAGTAGTTTCACCATCACTTGGTCATGTCATCTTGGATCGGCCATGTCAAGAGAATAGGAGGAAACCATATCCCCAAGAATATTTTGTATAGCGAGATTCGAGATGGCTCCAGAAAGCAGGGTTGCCCTCTATGGTGGTACCACAATATGCGCATAAATGATATGAAGTTGATCAACATCAACATAGAAAGCCGGGTGCAGAATCCTGTCCAATCTGGAGGGAACATCTGGGACTGGGTGCAGCTCATCATGAAGCGGCTTTGCTCTAGAGGATGGAGACAAATCAAGAAAGAAGAAAGCGGTGCGCTATGAACTTGGACTCCTACTCAGACAACACATAGATCCATGAAACTTGTAACAAGCTGTGTTGCTCTCCACTTGGGCTTGTCAGCCACAAATGGATTCAACTGGCATTTGAATAGACTACACCATGATCCAGAGGATTGACAGGTGCCTACTCACCAGAGCTCATTCTTCTGGCCCCGAACAGAGGTTGATATTTGTTACACAGAAGAATTTCCCTCTGATGCTGCTGGCTGGAAAAAGGGGAAGGAAGAGCTGCATTTTACCTTGGCTGCTTTTGCTGTTATCAGCTAGGGAGGGGGATAGGAACTGCTCAAGGGATAACCTTGCTCCACACTCCTACCCATTGTCTCGCTCTCACTTTTGCTTCTTTCTTTCCTGCCATCTTTTCATCTCTTCCTTTTTCCCTCGCTTCCAAGGTTAAGTCTTTGTGGTCATGCCACCCTAACAGAAAATGAGAGGGAACATCTGGCTCAGTTTAGCTATTACTCACACTTGTATGGCTGCAATAAAACCCCTGTCCTAAGTGTGTTTGCAAGCCTTGCTTCAGCCATGCTATATACTGGGGTTGCAGTAAGGCCTTTTCACATGGTTCCATATGCTGTTTTCTATCCAGGAAAGCAAGAGGTAACGAATGCTGTAATATGATAATGTGCACAAATACAGACTGGGGAATGACTGGCTGGGCTGCAGTGCTGCAGAGGATGACCTGAGGATTACAGCAGACCATAAGCTGAATATAAGCCAACAGTGTGCTCTTGTTGCAAAAAAAAAAAGAAAAAGAAAGCCACCAGCATCCTGTCCTGGGTTGGATGAATAAGAGTGTCATTTGCAAATCAAGGGAAGTAATTCTTCTACTCTATCCAGCACTGGTGAGACTTCAACTAGAGCACTGTCTCCACTGTTGGGCCCCACACTTCAAGAAGGATGTGGATAGATTGGAAAGGGTCAAGTGCAGGGCAACAAAATTATTAGTGGGGTAGGAAGCATGATTTATGACAGAGGTGGGCAAAATGCAGCCTGGGAGCCAGATGTGGCCCGCCAGGACATTTTATCCAGTCTACAGGGTCCCTAAAAGATTTAGAAAATTAATATTTATCTGCCCCTGGCTGCCAATCATGTGGCCCTTGATGGCTTGCCAAAACACAGTAAGTGGCCCTCCGCCCAAAATAATTGCCTGCCCCTGATTTATGAGAAAAGACTGAAAGAGCTAGGGTTATTTAGTTTGGAAAAGAGAAGATTGAGGGGGAATTCGATAATAATCTTCAAATATATGGGGGGCAATTATAGAGAGGGTGCAGATGGATTTCTCTCTGTGGCTGTAGGGAACAGGACTAAGAGCAATAGCCACAAGCTGCAGCAGGGGAAAGTTAGGTTGGAGATTAGGAGGAACTTTCTGTCTATGAGGATGGTCAAACATTGAAACAGGCTACCCAGAGAAATTGTGGAATCTCCATCCTTGGAAATTTTTAAAAGCACGTTCAACAGACACTTAGCTGGGATGGGCTGGACTAGATGACTTTGTGTCATCTCTTTCAGCCTTACTTTCCTATGGATCCTCATTATTCTTCTCGAGAGAGCCTGCTCCTCCTGATCCACAGGCTTCACAAGTATAAAGCCCATGCAGGGGAAGGCTGGAGACTATGCATACTTGGTGGAGTTGATACTTAAAAATACAAACCAGTAAAGCATAGCCACCATTCCACCAACTATCCATTAGCTGGTTGGCTTCTTGCAGGCAGCATGACAAAAACCTCAGTCTCTCTGTTTGAATCCGCTGTGTAATGTTGCTGCTGACAAACTGACTTGATTCAGTTAAGCTAGTAAAAACTCCTCTTGAATTGCTATAGAACAGACTTTTATCAATTTACCTTTCATTGGTAAGGGATCAGCCAAAGCTAAATCAATATCAAGCAAGTTTAAATTGATTTAAAAGGGTGCGAGGCAGGGTTTTTCACTGGTTAAAATAAATCAATTTAAAAATACACCTTTGGTTAAAAGAATCACAACGCAGCAAATCCACATTCTACAGACAGCCTGGCCTTTTCAATAGGGTACATAGCAACAGGAGGACGCGCAGTACAAAGGAACTCCTGTGGGATAAATGTACAAGTGCTAGAAGCATCACGCAATTCAATAAGAATTCAAACATTTTCCAATATTTTGATATTCGTCTTTTCTTAGCAAAGATAATCTTGTATTTCACAAAATATCTACAACTCTGGGTCTTCATTTGCCCCCCTTTTCCTGCTTATTATTTATACTAAAAGATTATTATAATCATCTGTTTGCAACGTCCTGCGAACATCCCCATGACAAGTGAAATAATGTTTCACAGAGGATTAGGGGAATTTGCAGAAAGAATAGTCATTTCATGTGGGAACAATCAAACATTCACTGCAGGCATCTTGCTTCTTTAATCTTAATTTATTTGTGCCTGTACCTTTGATTTGTTTTACAAATTTAGCAGAGAAGGCAGGACAGTCACTAAAAATCTAAAATTACATTGTAGCCATATGGAAATATTAAGTTTAGAAAAGTCTGAGTTCTCAAACCAGCTGTTCTGGGTATTTCCCCAGTAATGTGCTTACTTAGACCATATTAGTCTTTATGAGCATTGTTTTTCAAAATTACAGATTTTTGGAACCATCTTTATTGCAAAATGTGGCCCAGACTGAGAACCGGCATGTGTCTGTATGTCAGACTCCCGAGTTCAAATTTCAGCAATGACTCTGGCACGGACAACTGAGCTGTGGCCAAAGTGTTAGCATTTATTTAGTCAGTCTGTTGTTTCAGATGTACACAGCACTTACAACTGCAGCTAGAACAGTCTTGCCATCTCTCTTGTGAGTCCCAGGATATTGAGGCTTTTCTCTTAAAGCCCTGCTTTTTGTCGGCAAGTGACTATGTGAGAATCTGTAGAGGAAAAAGTAAATTTGCAGCGTTTAGAAGAGAGGAGAATCTCCTGAAAGCATGAATTGAAAGCACCCTAAAAACTCAGATACAACCCCCCCCAACATTTATTATATTACTGGATTTTATCATTTTTAGATAATCCTTTGAGTTTTGAGGGTGTATTTTATGAAGACTTGAGCTGGTGATACGGTTAAAACCAATGAGAGGTACAGTGAGCATTGGCCAACTCAATCTCAAGCTTAGGGGCTGAACGATTTACGCCACACAGAAGCAGGGATGAAAGGCTCAGCTTCTCCGGGCTTGTCTATACCTCGGCCGCAGTGGGTCCCAGTGAAGACAGCTGCCCATTCCCACGGCCCAAGTCTGCAGACACAGAAGTTCCCCAGGCAGGGCGTTCCAGGCTTGTTCAGAGCGCCTGCTCTCGGGGCTTCCTGAAAACTGATCCATCCCAGGGAGACAAACCTGGAGAGTCTCCCTCGTGGCCATCGAGGTCTGAAGTGTGCCTTTGGACTCGGGTGCAAGGTGCTGGGATGGAGCCTGCTCTGCCCTGCCATTGTCAAGGCCAGCTGCTGCTGCAGTGTGGACAAGCTCTCTGAAAGAACCAGGATAATTTAGCCTGGAGGAGAGACGACTGAGCGGGGATTTGATAACAGACTTCAGTATCTGAAGGGTGATTATGGAGAGGACGGAGATTGACTTTTCTTTGGGTCTGTAGGGGACAGGAGTAGGAGCAATGGCCTTAAGCTGCAGCAGAGGAAATCTAGGTTGGTGATTAGGAGGAACTTTCTGACTATGAGTGTGGTGAAGCATTGGAACAGGAGCACCCAGTGACGAGGTGGAGTCTCCATCCCTGGAAACATTCAAAAGCAGGTTGGACAGACACTTGACAGGGATGGCTTAACAAAGGGTGATCCTAGCTCAAGCTGGGGGCTGGACTAGATGACCTTATGAAGTACCTTCCAGCCCTACTTTCCTATGATAATGCAACACAACGCAACCAATGCAACA